TGCACACCCCAGGGAATTTTTACTGCCAAAACACAACTGCACTTCAGTTACATAAGCAATATCCGCGTTATTCATCTACAGAGATTTAAAAACTACTTATTATGGTGACATTAATTAAAAATAATAAAGAAAAGGTACATATCTGCCAAGAATGAGCTACCCATGAATATGGCAATGTGTAAAAGTAGAATTGTTATGGCTTACACTCATAAATATGACCCATCAGCCCAGCAAATCCTGGAATTCAGAATACTTTGCACTTAAAAAATATCTAAGCCTCACAGTGTAGAATATGTAAGTTTGTTGCTTCTATATTAAGAGCAGGTAAACATGAACAAATAGGTGGTTTGGAGTCAGTTAGACATAGTCAGTTAATCTTAAAGGAGGGGGAAAAAGAAGAAAGCCTCCAGACTTTGAGTTCTATTTTAACTATTAGTTTTGGCTGCACTGAAATTGATAGCAATATGATTTTTGGGAGCCAATGACTTTTTATCCATGAGCCTCTTCCCCCCCCCCCCCCCCCCCGCTTTGTTTTAAAATGATCAAATGGGAATATTTTTATCTCACCATGTGGTTAAGAAATGTTTTTGCTTTCTCAAATTTGCCTGAAGTTGGTCAGAGGATACCTTGAGGATCTGTTCAGTGATGTAAGGCTCCCCTGAATGACATTCCCTATTTGGGTAGGCAGCAGTGACTTGTTGTCCATCACCACAACCATCTTCCAGCTCAAACACATCCTCCATTTAATCTCTGCCTCATCTCTCACTGACTGTAAAATTATCACATCAGTGTCCATTTAGACTTGTTTTAAGTGGTAGCAGCTGTTAATAAAGCTCTTCTGTAACAACTATTCCACAATGGCCAGCTTGCATAGACGGTTTTATTTCACATGTGGGGTGAATTCGTGCAGCTTAGTTGAGTCTGAGGTGAATCAAGCTAAACCCAAAAAAGCATTTTTAGAGTAGAAAAAGAGTCCACAAGCCAAGTCAGTGCAGAATAGCTTTTGAACTTTAAATTCACACCTAAGTGTATTTTACAACACCTTCACTTAACAAGTACTTAACAGAAGAGACAATGAGGGATGTGTGTGTGTGTGTGTGTGTGTGTGTGTGTGTGTATGTGTGCACTGTGTGTGTATGTGTGCATGACCATAAAGGTTAAACAGCAGACTACAGATGACTGCTGCAACTATCTCCAGGATAACCTTGTTTGTAGAGGAAACACAGCCACCCTGTGCCAAGCAAGAGAAAACAGGGTTGTACAGAGATTTTGAAGTACTATCTTATGTGTTTGGGTTAAGGGCTTTGGGGTTTTTTCCATACTTTTATCAAACACCAGAAGTTGTATTGTCATTATATCATATAGTACCGGTGTAAAAATATTTGTACATGTGCCAATATACAACATATTTTTGTCTTTCCCCACTTTCCTTTTAATTATTACTAGCCATTGAGATACACAACTTCTAAATGAACAGGAAGTTCTCCAGCAATCCATTACATAATGTGTTCCTATTTGCTCATGTAGTGACCTGTGACATTGTTTTCTAAATGAATTATTTTTGTAATTGTGCTGCTCTTTTCTTGCACAAGTAGGAGGCAAGTCAGTGCTCATTTTCTTGAACACAGGCCTCCTACACACAAGATGTGCCCATTAGAAACTCTGAAGATGATTTCAACCCTGATGACTTGCTTTCAGTGCATTACACCCGCAATCAGTGCACCTGTAACGAGGTCACATGATACAAGTTGGGGAAAAAAACATATGGAAGTATAAATCCCCTTATTAACATACATAGTTTTTCCCTCTCTAGACTATTCCAGTTCCAATGATGTTATTTCAACTAATGTGAAATGCAAAGTTTTGTATATTATGGTGGAACAAATATAAGATATTACAGTGCTATGGGTCAAGCTACAACAGAAAGGTTTTGCCTGCCTTTATGTGAGAGGCAGAGTACAAAGTCATCAGCATCATCAGTCTGGAAGAGTTTTTCCAGGCTGAAGCAATCACTTCAGGCTGCACAGTAATTGCCACCAACTCAGTGGCCACTTTGAAGACCTGTCTGTCCTTACAGCACAGTGAATCACTACAACATAGGGCAAGTACACAGAGTAATCATGTCAGGCAGTACCACGACTTAAGCCTCATCCCAGGAAAGTTTTGGGTCTTGCTACAACATGTTTTCTAAGGAAAAAAACATCTTCGTCTGTATTCAAGCACAGAAATAGCACATACATAGTAAATACATTATATTGCATACAAGAGCAACTTCAGTGGAATTTTAGGAATAGCTATCAAACAACCCTGTATCGCAGCAATGAACAAAATCTCATCCACTGGAACATGTGAGGAGCAAATGTCTCCCAGTGTTACATGAAGAAACTGTGCCATCATAAACTGTAAATGCCTTCTCCCAGTACCTCAGTTTAACAAGGCTGTGAAAAACACTAATCACTTGTTTTTAAAATTTTAAAAGTTTAATAGTAATAAAATGGTTATAAAAATAGTAATACAATTAGAGTCATAATAATTTGGACAATTTGAATTAGGACAATATGAGACAATAAAGGCAAAGAGTTACAGACGTCCGGGTACCTTTTTCTGGGCAGCATAAGCCTGAAAAAGGACACCCGTTAACAGAGGATTAACCCTTAAAAACAATATAGCATGTTGAATATTCATACATCTCATACATGATGCATAAATTCCATTCAAACAAAGGTTCGGTCTGGTCATCGTCAACTTCTTCCTCTCAATCCTAACGGCATCTTTGATTCTTAGCAAGGCTGGAATAAGTTCATTTCTTCTGATAAGAGAACAATAAATTCTTTTTCTCTGAAAGATTTAGGTGTCCTGTGGCTGGTATCTGGTGCGAGTACCTCACTCCTTTCTTAAAAAAATATCCTACTTACATAGTTCCTATTTTAACTACAAAAGTTACCTTTTACATTTACCATACTATTAAAATGTTAATACAGCACTACTAATCAATACAACAAAATACATATAGTAAATATCTGCGTGGAACCATATAATATGCACTTTTCACAAAGGCCAAGTGCCGAATCCTGCACTTGGATTACAGCAACCCCATGCAGCACTACAGGCCTGGGGAAGAGTGAAAGCTGCCTGGAGGAAAAGGACCTGGGGATGCTGGTTGGCAGTGGAAGGAACATCAGCCACTGTGTGCCCAGCTGGCCAGGGAGGCCAGTGGCATCCTGGTGTGTATCAGCAGCAGTGTGGCCAGCAGGAGCAGGACAGGGATTGTCCCCCTGCACTCAGCACTGGCAATACCACACCTTGAGTCCTGTGCCCAGTTTTGGGCTTGTCACAACAAAAAAGACTTTGAGATGCTGGAACAGATCCAGAGAAGGGCAATGGAGGTGGTGAAGGGTCTGGAGCACAGGTGTGATGAGTGGCTGAGGGAGCTGGGGGAGTTTATCCTGAGGAAAAGCAGACTTGGTGGGTGGAGAACTTTATTGCTCTCTATAATTACCTGGAAGGAGATTGTAGTTGCATGAGGATTGGTCTCTTCTCACAGGCAGCTAGAAACAGGACAAGAGGAGGTGGCCTCAAGCTATGCCAGAAGAGGTTCAGGTTGGACATTATGAAGAATTTCTTCACTGAATGGTTTATTAAGCATTAACTGGAATCTGGCTGCCTGGGGAAAGGGTGGACTTGCATTCCCTGAAGGCGTTCAATGAACCGTATGTGGCACTTAGTGTCCCGTCTAGTAGACAGGGTGTTCAGTGAAAGGTTGGGCTCGATGCTCTTGGAGGCCTTTTGCAACCTTAATGATTCTGTGTGATTATGCGATTCAGGGGACATTCTACCACAGCCCCTCACACCGCCACAGCCAGGCTCGGGCCATCGCCGCTTTAAGGCTGAGCCTCCGCTTTAAGTCTGGGCCTCCCCAGCGTTTCCCTGTTTAAGGTCGGCGCGCGTGCGCGCGGGGCCGGGCCGGGCGGTCTCTGGGGCGCTCGGGTTGGCTCAAGGTGACCGGGGGCTGCGGGCTCTGAGGGGATGCAGCGGTGCCGGGGGCGAACCGCAGTTCGGCCTGGGCGGCGGGTGCTTGGTAGAGTTTGTACTCCCCTTCCCAGGAGTCGTGTCCTCAGGCATTGGCACCTTCTCGCTGCGGGGCAGGTGGGAGCACAGGTGGGGAAGAGGTTGGGAGAGGCTGCTGGCATTGCCCAGTCCCTGGAACGCGAGCTGGAATCGACCTTTACTGAGCCCCCAGATCAAAGCGCGTCCCGGGGCGGTGGAGGCGTTCCTGAGGAGAGGAGCGGAGCCCCCCGCAGCCCCGGACCAGCCTGTAGGACCGAGCCCCCTGTGCTGCCTCTCTGGGTTCTCTCCTGGGCTGCTCTGTCTGCGGCTTCCGAATCTGGTAATGACCCGTCGGCAGGCCTCTCTCCAGGACTCTTCCACCTTTGGCAGCACTGCTTTCTAACTTAGTCTTTGGGCGTACCTGACAACCTGGGTAGTCACTAGGCTCTCTGAGGGGCTCTCACGTGGGAGCCTGCAAACTGCATTATAGCCTTCTCAAAAAACCCATCGGGTGATGCTCCTGCCATCCTGGGAGCAATCTGCATTCCTTACGTGAAATTTTGCCAAGAAGGAATAGGCCTTTTGTATATAGACCATATACAGATGTGGTATTTTAAACAGTTTTCAGCAACTCTAACACAGTGCAACTACTTTGTGAAAAACAAACAAACAAACAAACAAAAAAACCTTCAAGAAGTGGTACCTAAAAGCTTTTAGGGTTTTTTTGGCACCTGAATCTGAAAAAGCAAAGTTTATACAGTGCTATTGTATGTAGATATTAATGACTATACTTACTGGTACTTTTGGTTTGTAGGTCAGTGAAATCTGATAAAAAGCTGAAAGATATTAGGCTTCTTGGGGATATAAAAAAAGATAGCTGCATCAAGATCCTAATACTATTGTCTTTCTTTTTCATCTGCTTCTTGGAGGAAAGATTGGAGCCTGCCCTCAACACTTATACAGTGTCAGAAAATCCACATGAAGAAAACACTATGAGAGAGACTTCTCATCAGAAAATTCAATGATGGAACATGTAACATTAGGAAATCTAAATTTATTGGTTCAATTCATAAAAGTACTTAGCTTTTTATGGCATGTATTTTTCTCCATTCATGACAGTTGATATTGATTCTGGCTTGCCATTAATTAGCATTCATCAAATGTAGGGCTCCTTAGTGGAGCTGGTGGAAACTTTGATACTTAATCCATTACATTTGCTTTTCCATTTCCATTTACCTCACCTTGCCAGTTACAGTTGTCTCTTCTTGTTTTTTCACCAGTCATTCCCACCTCAGTTTGCTTGGTTGTCTCATTCATTGTTCCCACTTGCTTCAGTTCTCTCTCCCCATTCTGTTTCGCTCTTCTCTGTTTTACTGCCCATTAAGTTGCTGTTCTTGTCACGTTCCTCTGTTCTTACTGATTCCTAGTCCCAGCTCTTCCCATCTTTTCTTCCTGCATGTTCCTCATTCAGAGTCATTCTTGAAATTTCTTTCCTTGAGTTTCCTTTGAGGATCCTTGCTCCAGCCATTTTGACATCACAGTTTCAGAGGACTTCCAAATCTTTTTCTCTGTTTAGATGCCTGCCTTCTTCCTCCTTGTTGCCTGGGCCTGATACAGGACTACCTGTTCTTCCTTTTGCTTTTTAACTAAACTGCATCTGGCATGGGCTGTAATAACTTGGAAGCAGGTGACTTGTTTTGGCAAGAGTATAGGCAACTGAAAACTCTGCCTTATGGGCAGTCTCCAAAACAAGAAGTTCTGGGAACCAAGCCCAGGGCAAACAAACTGGAGCATTTTAGCACTGAGGAATTTATTTAACTTTTTGAAAGGAGTTGTCACGTGTCTCTGAAACAGTGGGGAAAGAAAGGCAAGGGGAGAAGTAAATCTGGGCTAAAACATACTTGAGACTCCCCTGAAGATGCTGCTGTTGTGCTGGTTAATGCTCCTGATCTACTCATAGGGTGGATCAGGTGATTGGCATAGCACAATGATGTTAAAACTTGGAATTTTTACTCTATTTGATTTAAAGAGTTAAACCAACTCAGATTGATTTTGTCTGGAAAAGCTAAAAAATAATAATTGTGTTGTCTTTTTAAAAAATAGTGAAAAACATCCTGCACACTGGCACTATGTGTGTGTTGAAAAGAATTGTGTATATGGTACAGATCGCCTTTATTTCACTTTTTATAGGAAATCTGTTCTCTTTTTCCAAAAGTTTTCTTCACTATACAGTGCTAAAAGATGGTGCCTCTACTTATTTTCTTTAGCCACTTCTGTATTGTTTTCAATGTGAGGAAAGTTTGATTCTTATTGTGTTATGGTGTTACTGTGACCATTTGCTTGTGTAATGGTGCTGCTGACTTCCACTGTAGGTGCAGTCCTATTTAGAAGTGAATGTCCATCTGCAGTGTTGTATGCTGTGGCAGCTGTCACAGAATTGGAGACAATTCAGTTGCCAGTTTCACTTTTTGTCCACCCACTCATAGTACCTGGAAGATCTTCAAATTGAATCAGTACACAGGCTCCTCAAACAAAAGCTGTGAAAACAAACTGGGAAATAAACAGTGGTTTTGTTCCTTCAAAATGTCAGGCATTCAGAGTAGTCTAAACTTACATTGGATAATTTTTCTACTCACATTTATCTATGCTGCTCTGTATTGCTTTGTCTTCCTTTTAGTATGTTAATATCTTGGATTTTTTTTTCTTTATGTAACTGGGTTTTCCCCCCTCTGTATAATCATAGAAAGCAGATATTTCAGGAGTATGTTAGTCACAATAAAAATTATCTTCATCCTCTCTTGTTCAGATTGGGGTTTTGTGTTTGCATAATACACATATTTAGTTTTAGGCTAACAAAAATGGAGTTTTGACAGTGGACTGCTCTGTAAGGCATGAGCTGTACAGCAGTTCTGCCTGCTCTGTGTGGTTTAAAAACAGAGGCTCAAACCCTCAGCCATGGGTGTGGATACTATATATTGAGGAGTGATGTGCCCAGATTTCATGTCAGATGCTGTTGGCTTATATTTACTGCATTCTTAACTCATTATTTGTGCACAGAGCAGTTTGATTAGTGGTTACAAACTTCAGCTGAGTCGCAAATGTGTGCAAATCATTTACTAGAGTGGGCTTGTCCTTTTAAACTGCGCTGGGCACATCTGACAGTTTATGAAATGCTCCTTGTATTAGCAGAAATTCTCAGATGCTAAATCAGCTGCTCTGGGAGTAATAGTTGTGCTACTTGAATGTAATTTTTTTGGGCAGATGTTATCAGGAAGAATTTGGAGTTTTGTTCTGAAAAATATTCTGTAAAATAAATACAGAGAGATGTGCCCATGATCACACAGGAAGTCTATAGCTGAGTACAGTGCTGAACCTACCAAACTTTCTCTTAATCCATCCTTCCTGTTAGGGTTTTACATTATTCATGTTCTAGAGATTATATCAGCTGTGTGGGTATAAAGATGGATTTCTATTTCACTTTTCAATTGTTAAGTTCTTAATTTTCAATGCACATTTTTGTTTACAAACAGTAAGTAGTAATTTCATCAAAGTGTGGAGGTTTTTCCTTTTGTTGTAGACTATTGTTTTACACTGTTTTGTCCAAAGAGCTCTGCAGGTCACTTGTTTTTCAGCATTTTGTGATGCTGTAAAGACACATTTGAGATTCATTCCTTGTAGCATCCTTAGGTGTTGAAATACTGGAAAGAAATTCACTTTTTAGTAACTTTTCCCAAATAAGTAGCTTTTCAAGTGCAAACACAATAAAATGTTAAAACTTGATCTGTTTCTTTAACGAGATACTTGTGTTTTGAGTCAGCTGTGTATTTTAGACAGGAGGGATGGCCAGGGATATGCACCTTTTCTCCTAATAACTTTTTAGTTGTTTTGTAGCATTCCAGACTCTAGTTCTTGATGGTTTGGGAGTGCTGTTATGTAAGCACTCTAGCAGTACAGACAGAAGGTTCTGTATTTTGCAGTGTTCAAAGAACAAAGATGTTGGATAAGTGGCGATGATGTACTCTTTCTAGGCTCATCTTTTAGATTTACTCCAATTTGCTGTTCTTGTCAGCAAAATAAACATTATGACAAAGATGTTAGCTATCATGTTTCAGTCTTTAATGTCCTTTGTTCGTATGGAGGTTGGTTATTTATGGCTCTTGGCTGAAAATAGTAGTCACATTTTTATTTTGTATTAGATCTGAGAACATGTATATCATGTTTTTCCTTCTGTTAAATCAGGGTAATTTCCTTTTAATAACTTTGGATCTTACAGGTGCAAAATCACAGATTTGCAATCCTCTTTTAAAACTGTTGAAATTCAGGAATAAATCTTTCTGTAGAACAGATTGAGTGATGATCTCATTCTTTCTCATCTTTGGGCACTGCTAATAGAAAGAATTGCTTTTTCTTACAAAACATCTTACACAACAATATCTTTTTATCATGTACCTGCAGACTGCTATTCTGGTGTGCCTGCCTGCCTTTTATTGAGTGGCACCTGACTTTGTGTGCAAAGGTGCCTCTGTGTCTGATAGGTGGAACAGAGTGCTGTTCTCAGTCAGCACAGGAAAGCTAATCAGACACCTCTCCTTCTGCCTGCTAGGGGCTGGTGAGGGTCCTACAGGGAGCATGGTGCATTACTGTTTTCCTTCTTTCCAGCAGGTGCTACTGTGACATTGAATAAATCAGAGCTTTAATAAGATAAACAGGGAAACTCCTTATTCACATGTTTGTTTATGTTATGCTTGAGGTTGGTTTATATGATTCTTTATATCTTCCTTGGGCATGGATCCTGAAGTTGGGGAGGTCTGTATTTCATTCCCAGTTTCCAAATTACAGAGTACTTTGCCTCATATTCTTTTTTCAAAAAAAATTATATTTCAGGCCTTCAAACAACATTTTTTTTTTGTAGAAATCCAGTGTGAAATTGCTACAAAAGCAGAGATGATTATACAAAGAGTAGTGCTGAATTCACGGCCTGGTATGTATTTCTCTCCACTAAAAAGCAATGTGTTTGTTCTGATTGCCTAATGCTCCAGAATGGTGACGGTAGAAATGGACACTAATTTGAGATACTGACATTTATATATCTTAATATTATATGCAGCAATAAAGTTTATTTAAAGTGCATTTATTTATATATAAATGTATCAATTTCCATGAATATAAATACATATATTTGTAATAAATTTGTCTGCATTTATTAATAAATGTAAATTGTGTTAGTATAGATACGTTTCTATTGAATATGTGCCATGTATTCAAACTGCATTTGTTTAGTCTGCAGATTTCTAAACTGTTGTGTGAGAAAAAAAGGGTTAACATGTAATATATGAGGAAACTCTAAGTGTAGAGGCTGAAAGTGAAGAAAGATTAGGGGACATGACTTTTTAGTTCTCACATTTATTTTTTTTGCATTGTAAGAGGTGTCTAAAATATTTGGTTAATATTAATTTTTGTTTCCTTGTAGTAAATATTGAATCTTTTGCTACTCTCATGTTTCAAAGGATTTGGTGTTTAAGTTTACACTGTTGAGGTTTTGTTTACTCTCTTGTTTACACATTTGCCTTGTTATGGATTTAGCACAGTATTTTGAGTAGTGAGTTCATAAATCTGGTGTAGAAGACATTAAGTTTCGCAGGGAGTATTGTATGCTGCTTAATGCTAAAATAGTTTTAAGTGTTAAGAGCTATTGTGTGACCTGCAATTAAGTCTTTTAAATGGTGCAGCAGGAGCCTGCTCTAGCTGTGCAGTCACTCTGACCTAAAATAGGCAAGGCTGTCTGGCTGTCTCAGCACTGGTGGTTCCAGTTGTCTGATTGCCCTGCTGCATGTAGTACCAACCTGAGGATGAAGCCTCCAGTTCTGGGGTCCTTTCCACAATTTTATGGATGTTTCTGGGAAGCTTTAATGTAAGGAAGTCTCTATGAAATGATGCCCTTGCAGAATGTGCATGTGTAGTGGCTTCAGTCTGTATTCCCTCAGTCTCAGTTGAGCCAGAAGAGGCAGAAAGGTGGGAGTAGTTTGTTCTAGTTTTACACCTGAGTAAATATACAACCTAATTTATTCTAAAAAGAACTACCTTATAAAACGGCCTTCCTCTGTTGGTTAAGGAAAGTTTTACATTGATTCATTTATTTGTTAAATTCTACTATAACTCTAGGTAAGAATGGAGTGCCAGTGGCTGAAAACTTCCGACTGGAGCAAAGTACAATAGCAGATACAGTCCAAGTGGGACAAGTCCGTGTTAAAACTCTCTATCTCTCAGTGGACCCCTACATGGTAGGTGATGGACTCAGAGCTAAGCCATTGTTCTTTTAAGTACCTTCAACTTGTCATGATGTTTAACACCAAAGTTACCAATTACAGAACAAATATATATCTAGTGTAACATAGTAATTGTATTCATTCTGATGGAGTTATATTGGGAAGGAATTTGGCATTAATATGCTTGGGATATATATATAGGAATGTGACTTCATTGGACCAGGAAGAGACTGTAAGCCATTACAGATTTGTTTGTATCAGTTTTTTCTGAACTTGGCCTTTTATGTATTCTTTTTTTTCCAGTCATGCAAAATTACAGAAATCATGTGGTTGAGAGAATTGTGGGTTGAAATGGAAGTGAAGGTAGAAGAGGAACCAGACAGATACAGTCTGTTAAAGTCTGCTATAAAGAGAATTCTGATGATTTATTCCCTCCATAGATGGTGATAGTAGGAAAAAAACCAGTCTAGATTTCAAGAAAGTACATTTAGCTTGAGAATTAAGGAAAAGTTTAAGAATCTTGAAATACTGGCTGTAGCTACATGGGAAACTGGAAAGAAAATGTGTCCCATTTCAAGATGTTTCATTAAACAGATCTCTGTCAGGGGTGGTCTGCATATATTTGACTGCTCTTCAGTGCACAGGTGTAGACTAAATGACTCGTGGGCATTCTTTTTCAATCCTGCATTTCTAGGATTCCTTCAGTTGAGGAATAGCATTTATAGGGTTCTCATCAGACCCAAGCCAGTCATTGTCAGTTGTGCTGGTGCTTTTGAGCCAACATCTGTAGAATGTGTTGGCTTTGGTAACACTGATGGAGATCAGGATGGTCCATCCTCCTTTTGTACTGAGCAAACAAGGGGAAAGAGGGATCTAAGAAAAGATTGCGAATACTTGGGGCTTATTGAGAGATTTTTGAGTAGCCCTTTGTGTTTGAAGCTCAGAACCCACCTTTGTCCCCCACCCAGCTTGAACTGGTAAACCAGCTATGTTCCACCAGAGCCTTTCATTAGAGCCTTGTCTTTCAGCGCTGCCGAATGAATGAGGACACGGGCTCGGATTACCTGCGGCCCTGGCAGCTGTCTGAAGTTGCTGACGGTGGGGGCATCGGGGTGGTGGAGGAGAGCCAGCACCATAACCTTGCTAAAGGAGACTTTGTAACCTCCTTCACGTGGCCCTGGCAGACTGCAGCAATTCTTGATGGAGACTCGCTGCAAAAGGTAATAGAAGTAAAAAGCCCAGGTTGTGTGTGACTGTTTTTTTCCTAAATACTTTTTTTCCCACCCAAAACTTCTATTTTTTTTTCCCTAAACAGCTGCTAATGACACTATTTTTTTGTGCAAAAGAAACATACTTACTGAAGCAATCAGTTCTCAAAAGGCAGATCAACACATAGGTGCCAAGATTTATATATTTTTTTTTAATAACAATTTTGCTGGTTAATATATTAAGGCCATTATTATTTTAATTGTTGTTTTAAAAAAAATTCCCTGAAGCTATTCCAATAAATAATTCTCTTAATTATTTTAATTCTAATAGAACTTCTTCATGAGAGTGTAACTGCAACACATCAAAGACTTTAGGTATATTTAATCTATTTTTTTAACCTATGTTAGTAAAAGCTTTTACCTCAGGTTTTACATTCACATAAGAAAGAGTATTCAATATGAACTTGGAAGTGGAGAGGTTTCAGTGCATTAGGGATATTGTGTTGATTGTTCTCTCATAACAGAAAATTACTGTAGTTTGAGAATTTATACTTTCCAATAAACTCCTTCCTTTAGGACTCTCTGTTACTGATCTGCAAACACCATATTTGATAAAATGGTGCATTTTTATCCTTTTATGCTAGCATAGGAATAGTTCACCATTGTTGGAAACTTTGTATCTCCCAACTTTTTTTTAACGCTTCCATAATTTAAGTTTTTGTGAGTTACTTTGCTTAAAAACTTGTTCTAAAACCACAGAGACATAACATTTTTGTACAGACTTGTTGTTAGAGTAGAGCTAGAGATAGCTCATCCCTACCAGTTTTACCTTGCCTGGTAAATATCCTGAATTCGTTTTCTACCCTCAGGCAATCTTAAGAGCAGAACCTCACCTTAGAAACAAATGACCTCCTACCTACTTTCTGTTCCCTAGCTGGAGCCACAGCTTGTAAATGGACGCCTTTCCTACTTTCTGGGTGCAGCTGGCATCACGGGGCTGACGGCCCTGTTGGGAATCAGGGAGAAGGGACACGTGGCCATGGGTGCAAATCAGACCATGGTGGTGAGCGGAGCGGCCGGTGCCTGCGGCTCTTTGGCTGGCCAGGTAGGTGCAGGCTTAGGGCATGCAAACATACTCTGTTAGCAAGTTTGCTCTTCTGAAACATGCTGGTTATTAAATATACAGATAAAATCTTTGTAAACGTGAGCAGATATAATCCTGTGGGAACGGCCAGTTTCACAGATTTGGCACACACTCTCAGTGTGAAAGACTTGACATGTGAAAATCAAGTTTCATGAAATAGAGAGAGAGAACACAGATAGTGGTGATTACTTGTTGCTAGCACAAGTAAAATAGATGGTGTATATATACATGTATTTATTATACATTTATATGGTAGCCTTCCATCCCAACACTGTATTGACTGGAGACTTTCATTTTTTTCTCTATTAGAAAATAGTAATGTGGTAAACCCTTTGTGCTGTGTTCCATGACATCCTTTGTGTTTTGAGATTTACAGTCCTTTTATCCTCCTCTGCTTTGCAGAACCTGTTTGCGGTGTGTATGTGCATATCTACAAATATCTCTCTAGATATATATATACACAAACAAAATTGATATTAAGCAAACTTTAGACCTACTAATAAAGAGAAGCTATGAAGAAGCAATGCATGAGCAAATCTATGAAGGTTGTATTTAAATCAATTATTGGCTAATTTTTTTTTCCTTTTATCACTTATGGTACTCGGCAGATGGTCATTTTCTACTATATTTGGTTCTCCAGTACTGGCAGTCATTGTTGATTCCACAAACATAGTCTGCACTCAGTGGGTTTGAAAAGATGGTAAATTTTGATTGTACCTGCCCTGTGTGTAGTTGTGAGGAGGGAGTGACAAGAAGTGGTTGTGTCACATGAGATGGGAGTGTTTGCTGCCTGGGGTTTAGTGGGATGAGAATAACTGTAACACCCCTTAGGACCCCCTTTCTTCCACTGGTACTTTTATGCAGATGGATGATCTAATTTGTGTTTGGGTTTTTGGTTGGTTTGTTTTTTTTTAACTGTGTGCCTGCAGATTGGCCGTCTGGAGGGCTGCTCTAGAGTGGTGGGGATTGCTGGCACAGATGAAAAGTGCTCCATTTTGGTCCAAGAAATGGGGTTTGATGCTGCTATCAATTACAAGAAGGGGGATGTGGCAAAACAGCTACGTGAACTCTGCCCGGGTGGTGTGGATGTTTACTTTGACAATGTTGGTGGTGACATCAGTGATACAGTTATAAGTCAGGTGATTATTCCAGCTGTCATGTTTATTCTAGTCATTCTCCAATGTCTGCATGCCCAGCTTTCAATTAACTCATACTGGAGTCCAGCCTGTAATACACCACAGCTTTCCACTTCAGTAACCGACTTCAGGTGCTGATTCTGGGGGCCCACAGCAAGATACTAATTTCCTATATTCCTTCTATTTTGTGCCTTTTAAAATTACACTAGGCTGAATAGCAGTTATTTACCCACTATTACCTTGCAATTTTACCTATTTTAATGTTGTCATAGATTCTGTGGGACTGCATGCAATTCTCCCACTCTTACAGGAAATGTGGCTAGTGAAAATTTTGCAATAACATCTATTGCATCTGAAAAATTTAGTTTCTGAGACTGAGGAATGCCGTTTTTCTCACTTTATGCTGTCCCAAATAGATGAATCAGAACAGTCATATCATCCTGTGTGGACAGATTTCTCAGTATAACAAAGACGTGCCTTATCCCCCTCCACTGCCTCCTGACACAGAAAAAATACAGAAAGAAAGGAACATCACAAGGTACAGTTCTCCTCCAGAGCTTGTGACCAAATTCCAGGTAGATCGTTCATATGGTGTTTGGATGGTAGTCTGTAATCTGCAGTAGCTACTTGTAATTGGAACAGAATGTTGTCATGCCTAAAAAGGAAAATATAATCATGGTATCAATAGATCCTTTCTCTTACATTTGTCTTATCAGCATAAAAAAATGGGAAAGGATGTTTTTATATAGAATCATAGATATCATTTGTTACATTTTATTTGAGTTGCTTGATTCAGTCCTTTAATCCCTGACAATTCTTTAGTACAAGGGAAGGTGTTGCCATAGTTCTGTTCTCAGAAGTTTTGCGAAGTGCCTTCTCTCAAAATGTTGTAATTCAGGCATAAGGATGCAGCTGATGCAGTGATTTTATTGAAATTACATTTTTAGTATTTGGGGGTTTATTAGATAATGGAACTGTAGGTGTGACAGATATATATGGGTAGAACATTTTATTATGTTCTGACTCTGGGAATTGCTGAATTTCCTCTTAGGGTTCAGACGGAGCTAAGGCAGAGATTAGGAGGAGAGTCTTGGATTTTTCAGTCATTGCATTGCAGGACATTTGGGAGACTTGATTTCTGTGCAAATCAATTGATCTCTCCTAATTGAAATCTTTCCTTGTCCCTGTTACAGTTGTCTGCCCTTGTAAAAAAATGGATAAAATTAGTAAAATACACCATGCATAGTAGAATGCAGTGGAAAATTTAGTCAGTATGTCCCTACAAGTAATTATCATTTTTGATGATAATTTCCATTTCTCAATTGCTATGGAAAGCCATGATGACAGCAGGATATGCAAAATTGTGGGGAGCCTGAAAGTTAAGTTAGTCTCACCATCTGGTTGCAGGTTCACTAATTATTCTCCCTACCACTGAAAAAAAAGAAAAAGAAAAAAAAAAATAATAGGAATTTGCTCACATTTTATGGATATTTACTTATTCTGGTGATACTACTTTACTACTCGATTTTTATTACTCTTCTATCTGATACTTGAAGAAATCTTCCTAAGACTGATGTTACTGTCAAGCTCCCACTGCAGGAAATTGTCACAACAAACTAGCAAGGCCCTGATCTACATTTCTTTATCATTTGTGCTCAATAACCCTTCAGTTTCATCAAGGCTGTTTTCTGAAAAGATTTTTAAAGATTTTCAAGGACATTGATCAAAGTTTCTTAAACTAAAGCTCATTCTTTTCTTTCACAGGGAAAGATTCTTGGTGTTGAACTACATGGACAAACAAGAAGCTAGTGTATTACAACTCTGCCAGTGGATCCAAGAAGGTAAACTGAAGGTGAGAACTTCTAGGTTTAATCTATGGACTTTGATACTATCTCCTACTACAAGAGGACTAATTTCTTTGTCTCTGGCTCTCTTACTGTGCCTCAGGATTGAACAGACCTTTTAAAAAATGTGTAAGTATAATTGAAAGCTTATTAGGTAGCACTGTTTTTTAAAAGGTACTTGCTGAGAATGGTCTGACTGTAGGATGACTGACTTCTCTGATTACATGCTGCTCATGTCTTCTTTATTTCAGCATAGGGTGCAAGTGCTTTTTTACTTAAAGATGCAGACTTTCAAAATATTTTAAAAAAGTACTTTCAAATACCTAATAAGTTAAGTGTCCTGAAGGCTTTTGAGGATCTTGTTGGAAATTTTACATCAAGCTTTATAATCACCATTTATTACTTTGTAATGAGTATATGCTTAACTGTGCCTTCCCTGTGAGGTCTGTCTGAATTAGATTTTGGTTCTTCAAGTGATCAGTAATTTTCCTGGAAAAATAGCAAGACGTTAAATTTTGGTAGGGGCAGGGATCTGATTAAAGAATTAACCCACCTGCAAATTTATCAGAAAATATTCACACCTCTCTTGTTCAAAGAATCTGGTCCAAACAGAGCCCTGACCATTGTAGCGAGAGAAGTCTTTAGATTTTGGTGGTTTCTATGGCAGTTTCTTGGCATGTTTCTAAGAAATGTGAAATGCTCCTCTTGTTTGCATTGACAGGTCAGAGAGACTGTGGTAGAAGGCTTAGCAAACATCGGTGGTAAGATATTTACATCATTTTTGAAGAATATTGACCTGATTATATACAATGACAGAGGTTAACTTTGTTTCATTTGTCAGTTTAGATTTTTGTATTTCATCAAAAACATTATTTTTGTTACAATAATTTTTCACTTATTATTAAAATGTTCTGTAAGAGAATTATTATATATTTAAAAATAATTTAATATAAATTTAGATTTTATTATTGTTTTAGTACTGAGGGGAATTTATTCTTAGACTGCTATCTTAGCAGCTGGTGATAATCATCCTGATCTTAGAGGTTTAAAGTGCTGCCCCTTTCTTTGAACTTGCATATAAGCAAATGTTTTTTAAAATCCTTGAATTTATACTTTAAAAACACAATATCTAACAGAAGTTATTAGATTTGCTAACAAAAAAAAATTAAAAGTATACAGAAGAAAGGGCAAAGCATCTTACTAAAGAAAGTAAAATTAATTTCTTTTAATAGAACAAAGTGTTCTGTAGTCTGTTCAAAGTACCTGTAACAAAGGAAATACAAAAATTAAGAGGGTCTGGTGATATAAGCCATGTGATGTGTATTAAAAATGTGTCCCCTTCAAGGAAGAGGGAAGAGTGTGATTTAGTCCCTTTAGCCATTAGTCCCACAAGATTGAAAACTAGTAGGATTAAGTGATAACTAAATCTCCTAGATTTCGATTTATTCTAGTCATTGCTAGTTCCTCCTTACTGGTATACATATGTATTTTGAAGTAACTTGGTCAAATATATCAGTCATATATCATACTTTCATACTTTGTTTACTCAGAGATAGATTCTTTTGTACCAGCTTCTCCCACTACTGTACAATATTTATAAATCTTTTCTTTCATAAATGTGACCCACAGCATTTGTGAGCTGTCCAATCACGTCTTATGTAGCATCAAACTGTTGCTTACAGATAATTCTTTTTAAATTGTTACACAAAGCTGCCCTTGGCAGTTTATTACAGGCTAGCTTTTTTTTAATCTCCTTCATAATTTAACACATAATTAAGGATAAATATGATTAGGTCCTAAATGGTATGTCTCCTTTTTTGGGAGCTGCTTAATACAGTTGCTTCTACCATTTTTGGTTTCTCTTTTGGAAGCTACTTGGCTTGTTTTGCTTGGCATAAACTTACTTAATTATTTCTCTTGAAGCTGCTTTCCAGTCCATGATGAACGGAGGCAATATTGGAAAACAGATCGTCTCAATTTCGAAGTAAAAGTCATTGGTTCCAGAAAAATAATTGCATTCGGTCTCTAACAGCGGGCAAGTTTTTAATTATACTAATTTCCATTTCTTAAATAAACCATTAAGTTGTTCTGTATGTACTGAAAGCAGAGATTTTGGGATGCTAATAAATTAAATTGAACTGGAAACAGCAATGCAATAATTGATACTCAAATTGAGTAATACGTTCTTGACATCATTTTGACAGCTGCCACCTACAGTTGCAAATATTTAATGGGTGTGGTTTAAAAGAACATTCTGTGTTGTCCCAAGCACAGGCTCATCACCTGGTTGGTGTGTGACAGCACTTGACACACCAAGGTGAGGAATTCCTATTTCTTTATTGTATTCTGTACAAACTAGGAAATTGGGGGGCAACTCACAAAAGTCTATCATCACCATCAAAACTTTACACTATTTGCACATTTTAGCAAACAAAGCCATCAGCATTCATTGGTTACAATTTGTACAGCTTTTTCATTAATTAGTACTCAGACCCTTATTTACCAGTTCTATCTCTTGCTTCTCATGCTAATTATTCCACATGTGCACTTCTTCTCCCCATTCCATTTGGCGATCTGTTTTAACTTGGTGGACAGGGGTTGGTGGTTTCTATCTCCCCTGCCAGGACTATCTTTCCCCCAGTTACTGCTCAGTCCTGCTGACTTCACTCCAAGGGCTCTTATCCAGACAGCCCAATTATTTTGGGATTGTGTTCCCTTTTCCTTAAAACAAAGAATTAGCCATGCCCACAAGTTTCACCTTGCAATTGCTTAATCATAACTGCCTAGCTATAGGTACTGATTAACAACAAAAAACCTGCAAATTTTGATTCAAATCTTGAGGAAGTAAATATCACAATATTTGCTGAAGGGCTACTCGAGAGTGAGCTCATCTCTGGCACCATGAGTTGACATACCTTCCATGAGTAATTGTCCTCTAGACAGTTATTTTTCACAACTGGAACAAAATAAGATAAAATTATAATATTCCCAGCAGTATTATTTTTATAGGAATTGCTTAGTAATCCACATAAGTCAGCAGTCTATTAAGAGCTGTGATGTGAGGGGTGATTCAGAGTGAGATCATGCTGAGATACTGATTCCTTACCATAATAAAGGCAGCTTGATTGCAGTAGCATTCTGGTAGTTAGGTAAGCTGGGGAGGGCAGTACAGGCTCTAGCAGCATTAGTCAAAATGGCTTTAAGACAGAGAGATAGGGACAGTGAAAGTAAACCTCACCCTGATAACCCCAGTGTTTACTATTCTCATAGAAGTATTCATTCCTTTACTTGTGAATCATGGTTCATGTCACATCTTAAGAATAAAAAGCCAAAAGGAGAAGATTCTTTAAAGTAAGTGCCATCAGTTATAAAAACTATTATTTTTTTTTGTCTTGTCCTAATTTCTTAATATTTGTAATAGTGTGGTTCTTCAGCTATCATATATTTTATACTGTGAGAGGTGTAATTTAACAAAGGGTGACAAATAACTGGTAAGAAAAATCCAGTATGCTTTGGAGGTTCCTTCTTATGGTAATTAGTCCACATGCCCAATCTTTCACTTCTTTTGGGTTGGTGGGTTTCTTGAGTCGGTGGTTGTGATCTGCCTGTGTCAGAATTACCTTTAACCAGTCAGAGCCAATTTCAGCACAGTTGCTGAGTTGTCTTTATTAGTTTCTTCCTTATCATGGGAGTGCTTCCAGATGTCCTTATGGCCTAGAAACTCTGCATTCTTTGTGTCCTCTGTCAGTAGTACATTCTTCCCAAGCTTTGCTAACCTCCCACTAGGCCTGAGATCAAGCATGTCAAGCCCTAAACTTTAAGGAGGCCAACAAGTACTTTGTCTTTAACACCTGGGCATTGCTTACAGCTTGCTTGTTAACTGCTACCTGCTTTGTTGGTTGTATCTTCTTTCTTGTTAATTAGGCTTGAGAATATATAAATATGAACTATCAAATAACATCCTTTCTTAAGCGAATTTTTACATAATTCACATTTTACAACAAGAAGGCAAGACCTGTAACTCTCTGGGCAAATGGTTAATTATTTCTGTCTCTTGAGATGTCAGCATCATAATCAGTCTCTTCCCTTTTATCTCATTGTCTTAGTTTCCCTTTATTGCATTCTGTGTTTTTTAGGTCAAACTGTTCTCCTTTTCCCAAAAACACACCCCTACATCTGTTTCTTATCTCCATCAACACAGCTGGTGGTGTTCCTCAAACAAGATTCAGTACCTGCAGTGTAAAGCCAGTATCTGGCCCAGAGCCAAGATATTTGGTTTTTTTTCATGTTTGGGTGCTAGGTATTAATTCCACAAAGCCATCTTGGAACGCGGGCATTTGCCTCTCTCTAATACATACTCATTTTTACTCATAATTGACTGGCATCATATTTGCTAACAAGGTCTGCATGTGCATAACTGCTCATCTTTTGAGTCAGTGGGTTTCTTGAGTCCCTGGTCACGAGCTTGCACTTCCAGATTTACTTTTTCTCTAACATCATTTCTGAGCCAAAGCAGTTCACCATCTTGTTTACCTTCTTGATTTAAGATGGGCCCCTTAGAACCTATTGGCTAGGGTCCTTGTTTCTTTGTTCCTCTACTGATCTCTTTAGGTCATCTTGACTTTCTGGCATAATCCAGCAGTTTTTCCATGTACACAGAACATCAGCTCCTGTAACTCACAGAGCCCTGGCACAATTTCTAGGAAACAAGTACAGTCTTTTATTCAAAAAGGTGTCAAGGGAAGAGTCATATATATATATATACTGACTAATAGTCACTCATGCTTAATTACTGATTCCTATGACAAAATTCCTAATGCACATGTGCAAATCTGGATGCCGTGCATTATATTATCATTTACACAGGCAAATTTAAATTTTCTGGAGTGGGGTGGGGAGGAGATGTCTCTGAGTATTACAGTCATCGAAGGTAATTCTAAGTTACATTTTCCTTCTATCAGCTAAAAAGTTGCTATTTAACTCGTATTCTGTTACAGTTTCTGCTTGAGTCTCTTTGAAAAATTGGTTGTTAACTAAATAAGGATTTATAGTATTCTGTTCCTGGGGCCTCTTCACATAGCATTCTATTCCTGAGAACTCTTCACTGCTCTATTACTCCAGCCCCCATTGTTATAGTTTCAAAACTGACCTACAGCTGTTAGGGGTTTTTTGTGAACTTTTATGCATGTCTATCTTCATGTGACATTGTGACCACAGGACCACAGTAAGGCAGTTCAGCTACAATCTTTATAAATAAGCATTTGCAAAGGATAATAAAATGTAAATAGTATTGGGCAGAGACATCTTTTTTCCTTAGTTTTGGTTAAGCCAATCTTCTGCATTTTATTTATTAGTCTTGTGCATTTCCATTTCCATCCCATTTCCCTTTGTACCTTGAAGTATTGCTGTTGTCTGCCCTATATTTCATTTTCTTCCCTTCTGCTTTTTTCCCTTCCATTTTCATCCCTTTTCTGGTTGTTTTTGGGGTTTGTTTTTTTTTTTTTTTTTGGTTGGGTTGGTTTAGTTTTGCTTTTTTTTTAGTTGATCTTGTTTCTTGTCCCCCTTTTTGTCTTCTTCATTGACAATGAGAAAAACATGGTGTTTTTCATAAGAGCACCTATTAGTGTTTAGTGCTAAATTGTACAGTTACATGTCAGGATTTCATGCAAAATGTCACCAACACCATGAAAAGACCTTTCCAGCCCAGACATAAATGTTTCTTACTGCAGTTTATAGTAGCTGTTGTTACAAAAGTGAAGAGGAAGCCAAAGGAGGTTGTGTGTCAGCTTTCCTGGATCCCCAGAATTTTCTAGACTGGTAAGTGCACTTTTGTTTCTCTTCTTAAAAAAAAAATTAAAAAAAATCAGCCTCCACACAAGCCATGCATGAATGCTCAGTGTTGGGGGTTGATCAAACAGTGGGTTCAAGTGTGTGCAGTGTAGACACTATTGGAGAGACCAGCCTAAGGGTAAAAGTATTGGGTAACGTTATATTTAACAATGGTAACAAGTCAAAAGATATGAAGTATATTATTGCCGCTTCTTGTTTTCTCTAATCACATAAAAGTAATTTAATTGTGAAATGTCATTTTATTATCAATTTTTCGGTATTGTATCTCACAAATAAATTTTATGCCATCTCTGATTTTCAACAGCTTTGCAAAACAAACTTTTGTAGCAACAAATTACATTCTTTATTCTCTTAACAGTGTATTTAACTCATGTAAATGGCTGCTCTTTCTTCTCCCTATACATTGAAGACATTACATTATTAATAGTATTACATTACTATCTTCCTATATCATTGAGGAACAGAAATGAAGGAACAGGAAAACTGTCGCCTGTTAGAAATAACAAATGTCCTTGTTGTAGTCAGTATTTTCTTCTGATTTATTTTTCTGTGTTTTACTACAGTCACTGCTGTTTTTTTCCAAAGGGACCATAAATAAATTAGCTCTCTTTTTTCTTGAGAAGCCATAAATAAGTTACTGTAAAATTACCTGAAATATTTTAAATGTTCCACTCACAGCTGGTCTTTTGTGAAGCAACGCAGTGTTCTTTACAGATCAAGGCACCTCAGCTTTCTTGGCTCTGGATCATTGCATTCTTCATTATTGTAACTAACTGTTCTATAATTTTTGGACTTTGGAAAAAAATGAAAACAAAGAAATAAGTTTTCTTAAGTCACTCTTTGGTGCATTTTGCTAAGATCCAGAAACACAGCTGAGACCCAGAAAAACAGAAATTACAGACTTTATAGGCATCAGACCATAGTATTCCTACAGTCTCTCCCATCCTGAGGCTATTGTCTCCGTTCTTTGCTTTGAAGCTGAAAACCCCAGCACCACTGATAATTCACTGTCCTTTCACCAGTCATGGGTGGGAGGACTGGCAACCTTAGTAGTGCAAAATGAAACTCCTTCCTTCCAGAGAGTGAGCCTGTTAGTTAGCCAGCACTCCCAGGGCAAGAGCTATAGGCCAGAGCTCAGGTAAACATGAAAACAAATACATACACACACTTTACAGCCTATGATCTGCTTGTATACAGCATTATGAACTGAAAACATGTATGGGCATAGGACTCTGGCTGTGAAGGCCACTACAGCACCTTTGCAATCACTATTACTTCATAAAGACATCTGGTCTAGTCTTGTAAAAACACATGTCAACCCTGAAATAAAAATCAAAGAATCACAAATCCAGAAGCTCATCAGGTCCTATGCTCATATTTTGCAGCATTATAAAAATCAATAATTAATTATTTTTCTATTCACAGTAGCAATAGCAACAGGCAAACATTTCCATTTGTGATCCATATGGATATATGTATCTCTGTATCACTAAAAAAACCTCATTGATGAGATTATTCCAAAGTTGGCTGTACTGATGTATAATCCATAACTGTATTATATAACATGTATTATACAGTATGTTGTATAATAGAAGGAAAGTGTGTATAACATATTGTACATTAACTATTTAATACAGTTCTGCAGCAGTGCAGGTGCAGCTTTGGGTCTTACCACTTAACGGTTGGGGTGTATAGAATTCCAGCATCACAAAATGATAAGGATGTACCTTGAGAGTTTTTAAGACAGAATTTGGAGTACTTATATTGTACTTCAGGAGCTTTGACAGTTTTTTATCTCTGTTATGTAAGTTCTGAGCTCTGATGATTTGAGTGTCCAGGTTTTATAAATGAGAGCTGCGGTCAGTAGCACCAGCCACGTTCTCATTGGGGACAGGAAGAATGCCAAGGTGCCGTATGTCCGCTGCAGGAAATAGCAGGAATAGACCTGCCAGGCCAGGAGCAGGACCATTGCCAGGTGAACAGGCACAGCCACGAGGCGGCGGTTGTGACGGAGGTGGGAACGGAAGCTGTGGCCATGGCATCGCAGCAGCAGGCACCAGCACAGATAGGCCATCAATGGCAGGTTGAAAAACATCATCTGAAAGGAAAAGCGAAGAAAAATAACACAATGAGGAAGCCAAGGGTTCTGGGTAACATCTATGAAGGCTTAAAAACGTATGCACAGATAAAGCTGTCCCATTCTAAAGGGCTGAGTACAATTCCCAGAGATGGAATCTCAGGATGCATCTCCACGACTGCAGCTGATAAAGCTGGGACTGCCTGGGCCTGAGTCCCAGGCCAAGCATTCCTGCCATTCCCTTGCAGTAAGAGGCACTAACACACATCTGACATTTCCTGGAAATGATTCAGGGAGCCAGACTTAGCAAAAAATTAACATGGCAAAACCAAACAGTCTGTATGTCAGCTTAACTCTGACCCAGCCCACTGCAGTGTCCCACTGGTACAAAGGAGACACCATGAAGAAGGAGGCAATGCTGCTTTGATCCTCTATCTTAAATGCCAAGGAATGACACTTTGTCTTTCAGATTAATGGGGAAAACGCTCCTGGGAAAACTGGACTCATGTGTGCTTAGAGAGTGACACCTACTGATCTGAAGAGTTATTAACACTGCAAGGGCTACCCTGGCCACTCAGTTTTTTGCTTAATTACATTGTGTGAGCCAAGGGCAAAACCAGAAAATTTATTGAAAATTTAGAGTTATAAATCTGTAGAGACAGCCTCTAATCCAGATATCCAGGGAGTCCAAAGCAACATAATTTTATTAGAGAAAAAGAGAAGTTTTGAAAATAATGCAGAACCTCCTTCCTTTCTTTAAATCTGCAGAAAGCTAAGAAAGACCACTTGTAGTCAGGCATGGTCAATAATCTCTTTACTTACAAGACTTCTTTCTTTAAATCTATTTAAAAATGGTAAAAAGCCCCTGAGGGAAAAAGCGCTGGTTTTTAGCCTTTATTTTATAAATACTCACCTGTAAAATCCCAACCACAAATGTCATACTGCCCTGTAAGAAGGAACCACCAACAAACACTCCAAAGGAAAAACAGGCCCCCATCTGGCCATCTATCAGTTCACCTACAAACCATGGTCCTGCAAGAGAGGAAACCAAACATCACCATCAGGAAACAGAACAGAGACACAGCCCTTTCCCACATGGCCCTTTGTACCCTGAGACTTCCCTATTGCTTGTCCAGAGTAATCACCCTCATTCAGCAAACAGCAGTCTGGTGTGAAAATACCACAGTTTGACAGGGTTGTGGCATGCAATGAAAATACTTTTGAAATAGTTTCATCTCTGTGACAATTTTCAACACCACACATAATATCTTCTTTATGAGAGAGGTGAAAAGGGTAGCTTTTTCCCAGAATTACAGTAAGATATATGAAAAATGTGGTCACAAACAATTCCAGCCTGGCTCAGCATAGAAATTAAAATAGGCAGGCTGCTCTGTGTTATACATGCTACACAGACTAACAAGAAAATAGCTATTTCAGTAACATGTTAGCAGAGGAGAATAAACTCAGATTGTTAGCTCTAATGCTAACAATCAAAAAATAAGTGAAAACCAAACTGAATTTAAAAATAATCACTTTGTTTCAGAGTAACTTAACAATCTAAGTGTTTAATTAATTCAGGGCTTCTAAGTTAGGCTCTTACAAATAAGCCTTTAGTCACTTGGACATTAACTTTTAAAGTTCCGCATAGCTTTTGTAACTTCAGTAGATTTTCCCTATTCTCCAAGATGTTAGAATTCTTAAATTTTCATCAGGATCTAATGTGTAATTTCAAAATACCAATTTATGTCCTCCAGTACTCTAGGCTACTTACCCAGAATGGTGTATAAATTCAGAACCAGAATTGAGTAATAGAAGGTGTTTGTTTTACTGAAGACATTAAGAGAATATGAAGTCAGAGTAAGTAATCCCGGCTTTCCTAAACAGAGACAACATTTAAGAAAAATACACTTAATTCAGTTTGCAACACCTTCCCCTGATATATATGTATGTATAACACTGGTCTTTCTGAAACAAATCTGCATATTATTTACTCATTATTTTAAATAAGGAATATAAAAATTTGGTATGTCTACAGAAAAATGCAGAGGAATGCATTACTATTACTGTGATAACTGAAAGTAAAGAACCAATAAATATAACAATCTATATCAAAAACAGCAGAGGAACCTGTCATTCTAAAGGAATACACTTACTGTATGTAAATAATACTGAATGACCATTCTATACCCAGAAAATGAAATTAGCTAGAATGAAAACCATAGAGAAAGTATGTATTAAATTAAAAGTAAGAGAATCAAAACAGTAACTTTGCAAACCCAGAAAGGTGGGTCAGTGTGGACTAGATTTGTTGGATTTCCTTTGATTAAATCTACTTTACTGAGGTCTGATAGCAGCTCAAAATTAAGTCTTGGCATTAAAATGACATTATTCTGACAAGTGTGTGATGTTAGCAGAAAAAAGCAGTAGTAGCTCTCTAACTGAAGCAGGCAATTCACAGATCAAGAGAACCTTCCTAAAAAGTTAGCTTGTAGACTTAAATCTATTATGTGGCCCTCTCACAAAGAATTAACCCCTAGGCAAGCTTCACCTTTGGAAATCAACAGCTCTAACAAGTTTGTTCACTAAGATGTCAAACATTTATCATGGTCCACATGGACCTAGATGACCACAGAGTCAGCTTTTTTAATATTTTGCTGCTGAGTTCCATAAAGGCAACTGAAAATCTGATTCTTTTCTGTGTAAGCAGCTGCTGTAGTTACCTCAGGATGCTACACAATTAGGAGTATACAGGAAGGTACAAACACTGACATGAATAGGAAGGGAGGTGGCTTCCAGAAAAATCTCATTAGTAAGGTGTGGTTCAAATGACTGTTTAAAGGATAAATACCATGAGCTTAATAGTAATAATTTTAATTTACTAGATGTATCAGAAAGTATCAAGTTATGACAGAAATGACCTTAATATTATTTTGAGAAAGACCCGATCCTGTTAGTGTTCTTTGCAAAAGTTAACAAATTCTGCCTTTACAAAAGGAAATCTGTTTCTCCACTCAGGCAAGAGAGAATTCTGTAACAACTGTAGTGAAACAAGCACACATACAGAACTAATAAAAAACAAAACAGTCTCTATGTATTGGATTCTTCAGTGAGAAAATTAAAATGAAACCTTGGACTTCAATCAACTTAACTTTTATTTAAACAATCAACTTAACTTTTGTTTAAACACCTGCTCAAGTTTCTAGTTTACTTTATTTGATATATTGGAGGTTTTCCAGCTTCCCTTCAAAGCGAAACAACAGCTTCTGAGAAACCAATCAAACCCCACAGTAGCAGATGTAAAATGCATATGGCGATTAACAGCACAGTTACTTACATATTGTTAGCACACAGGTCAACAGTAAAAAGTTTAGAGGAAAACAGAACTACTAAAAACCACAGGTAAACATTAGTTGATACCTTTGAGTGCTGGCTTTTGGAGGTGTCGGAAAACAACAAGCAAGGTAATCTGAATCAGCACAGTCAGTCCAAAGAGCACTCTGGCCTGAAAAGACAGTTTTGACTATAAGCCAGCCCTGGAATAATTGCAGCCTTGGAGCATGCCTTATGGACACTGACATAATGGCATAAAGATTCTCTTTGAAACACATATTCAAAGCTTGTTGGTGTCACTGAACTGAAGAGTAAAAAAGGAAACTGAAGAGTTTCTAAGATTTGTATTGTACTGACTTGAATTCTGCTCAATGTCTGAAAGCAATAGACCCGAATCTTTAAAAATAGAGTTTGTAAACACATCCATTGAAAAAGTGTAGTTACACTTCCAGGGCAAAACATTGAGCACTGTTCTGAAGAGAAATGCAGTTCAAGACATGGTGTAAAATGTGTGACTGATTAACAAACCTAAGAATAATTTTGAGCCAATTATGATAAGAACTACAATCATGTGGACTTTCTTACATAGTTCTAGAAGTGCACCTAGGCTACTAAGACATGACATCCTTCTTTGCATATACTGAGCAGTAACACATCTGGATGTGACCTGGCACTCACTAAAGTCAATGGGGATTTTGCCCTCCACTTCAGCTAGTTATAATGTCAGCAGCTGACATTATAACTTTATTTGATTATTATGACATTATGACATTATTTGCAGCATTTTTTCCAGAAAACATATCACAACAGTTCACAGTGAATTTCTCTTCAATTTAATGTTTCCTTTTTCTACTATCTCCAGTAGCTCTTTTTCAATTTCTTGCTTGTACAAAATGTGTGTACACTTATGCCCAAAAATGGATAATTGGGACTAAATCCAGGATGTCAACTGTTTGTATAAACCATTTTTGCACGTTTGTGGTTGAAGTGTGCAACTTGAGAAACTTTAAATGTTTTGGAATTCCAACAGAATCATATCTGGAAAAAGTAACTGCATTCAAGTCTACGAGTTCTTCAGGAATTATGAAAAACCCTACTGCAGATTGGGAAACCAACATGAAGTAAAAGCTGTTTTGCTGAAAGTACTTACTAGAACATAGTGGTCAGTGAGAAGAATAACAGATGACCAAAAGTCAAATCTAAGAGAGAGGTTTTCTTCCATACCAAATAAATGGCCCTGTGTGGCAATTCTTCCTGAAGCATCCTAGATTGACATAAAATGAGAGCAATTACATAGCAATGGTACAAAAAACTGTCAAGTAAAGTTCATAATTATCATTGCAGCTTTTCTAGAAAGATAAAATTGATGTATGCTTCTCTGCATACTGCTGTATTAAATTCCACCAACAAAGGGTTAATTACAGTCAATTCTGCAGTTTCAAGTAAATTGGTGATTATAAAATCATAATCTGAAAGTGCTACATTGAATTAGAGCCTGTCAGAGAGTCAGCAACTTAGGGAAGACTGTGACTGTTTACTGCCCCTCCCCACAATTGTTTTCTGAAAGTTCAATTCTAGGTAATAGCCCATATTAAAATATTTTCAAATTTTGTTGTGCTTAATTTCTGGTGTTTTGTCATAAACCCATATACATAAACAAACATTTGTTTATTGTTTTTGTCATTTATTCAACACTTTGAGCAGTGTTCCAGATGTGGCCTGGCAAGCACTCGGTAGAGCAGGATAGTGACTTGTCTTGGCTGCTGATGCCCTTGTGGATGCACCCCAACATCCAGTAGATTTTCTCTGCTGCACCAGCACACTGTTCATTCACACTGAGCTTGTGGTCCACCAGGACACTGAGGTCCCTTTTCACAGAGCTGCTCCCCAGCCAGGCAGATCACAGCCTGTGCTGCACTCCTGGATTATGTTTTCCCATGTGCAAGTACTTACACTTTTCCTTTATGAACTTCATAATGTTCTTCTTGGCCCACAATTTGCCCTTGATTAATTGGTATTGGGTCTTCCCAGTCATGTGCTTCATCTGACTTCAGAAAGCCCACCACAAGGATTAATTTCCTAATTTTCCCAGGGACTGAAATAAGACTAAGGGGCCTATAATTTCCTGGATCCTCCCTTCATGCTTTCCTATACACAGGAGAGTCATTAGCCTTCTGCCAGTCTTCTGGGATGCCCCCTGATCTCTACAACTTCTCCAGGACTATGGAGAGTGGCCTCACAAGGATGTCAACCAGGTCTCTCAACACTCTGGAGTGGAAACTGTGAGGGCTCATTGATCTGTAGGATCAAGCTCCTGTGCCAGGTCTCACTCCAACTCTTCTTTCATTGACAGTGGGTCTCTGTTTGCATCGACCTTGATCCTTGTATCCAAAGCCTGAGGCCCAACACTGCTGGTAAAGACCGAGGTGAAGAAAGTGCTGAGAACCTCTGCCTTGTCAGAGCTGTCGGTGACTAATTCACTTCTGCTGTTTAACACCTGGCCAGTATTTTCCTTCTGTTGCTGCTTGTTGTTTATACACCTTTAGAACCATTTCTTGTAATTTTTGACATCTCTGGCTAATTTCAAGTTTGCACTTCTGTCATGTCTTATTCTACTTCTTATGAAAAATAATATTTCTTTCTTTATTCCAGCGGCTTTATGAATATTTTGGTGCTTAGCAGTCTATATTTATTCCTTTATTAAATCATTTGGGTTTTGTAATCAGACAAATATGAAAGTAAGTCTGTTATCATGTATTTTGTTCCTAGTTATGTGAGGCAGGAGGGTGACAGAGAAGCCATGATGAGAAAAAAAAAATCAATACAAAGAATGCCAACAGGTACCTTACCTGGACAGTTACATCTATGTGATGGAACCCTTCACTGTAGTTTTGTGGGCTCCACTTCAGCACATAGAGAGGGCCAGACACCTGATGTGCATTCCCCAGGTGAACTCCATCTATGTAGACTTTGACAGAGATAATGACAGAAGGAGAGAATGCCAGAATTCTAAGGAGTAAATAAAGAGCAAAAGAAACAGATTTGTTACTGGACTTGTAGGTATGTCATTACTTCCTTAAGAAGAAGTCCCTAAAGGTGAAGCTGCCTTGTAGTAAAGAGTTCAAAAGATTTAGAAATTACAACAGTGAAATATCTGTAGGCTAATGGTAACATGGTAGGTTTTTCCTACAGTTAAAGACAAAGTAGTTTTTTATGGCACTACACAAAAGAACAGGATAGAAAACTGGATGTGGAACAGATCACAAGGTGGCAGAAGTTGTAAGGCCTTGACAGAAATAATTTTAGAACACTTGCTTCAAAACATTTGCTAACACAAGTGGGACGCATCCTCCAGCACACATAGACACATAACCAAAGACTTGCAGATGTCTTCATAAAAAATTGCCAGGCTCTCTCTCTAAAGTCCTTTGTTGTTGGGAGTGGGGTTTTTTCCCTTCTTTTTTTTCCCCTTCTTTTCTTTTTGCTAGTCAGAATATAACCTCTCAGAGTTTGTTACTGCATTTAGGACAAATGGAGTGGAATGCCAGATCTCAGATACCAACAAATGTATTGCCACCTGGCAGTAGTGCTTATATTCACAGAAACAGTGATACTAATACAGACTCAAAATATTGTAAGTGCAATTCCTTTCATTTCTGGTAATATGAATGGCATTACAGAGCATGCTTTAGTCAAATGAAGGTGTTTCATACAGTTATGGTGAATAAATCTACCAGTTCCTATATTTAATATAATCATAAGATTGTTCAGATAAGGTTCTGAATGGGAAACTGTAAAGTAATTAGGACATCTAGTAGGATACTGCTCCCTAACCGAAAAGTACGACAAACTTCTTTTTATTGTAACCCTGTGTATGCAGTATTTCAAGCAGATTAGTCTTACAGCAAATATAAAATGCTGAAAAGGGCCTAAAAATCTGAAATATAAATGTAAAAATTAAATAGATAAATAGATGAAAAGATGGAGAGATTTAAAATGAATATGAAAATTGGCAGATGCTTCTCATGTTTTAGTATATAAAGGATGTAGAATTGAAAAGATAAAGCTAAGAAGTCTGAAGTGAATAGGGAAAACATTTAGAAAAATACATAGACAAAATTCTGAAATTAGCAGAGTTGATGTGAACATGTGAGATAAATAACACAGATTACATAACAATCTATGCATATTGATTACATATGAATCTATTTTAATTATATATTAATTGATCAAGTTTGGTTACATAAAGTTCGTTTGACCTTAGGGGAAATAACTGCATAAATAAAAAACCCCCATGAATTACTACTACCCAAACTTTTTATCACAGATATGATACAAAGCAAGCTCTCTGGAATGATCTTCCAGAGAAAAAATAATTCTGAGAACAGTAGACACACATATTAAAAAAAAGGTTTTGTGTATATACATATAAATATAATTAAATATTGTGAAATCAAGACATTACAGGGTACCTGATATGAGTGGAATAAAGAATTTTGACTAGTGGTTCATGAGTAGAACTGCTGTAAAGGAAGGATTTAGGATTGGTGATGAGAACTACAGGCCACTCTTCAAAGTTGAGATCTGCGAAGCTGAGGAGGTCATGGTCAAACGCAAGGATCCTGTATCTATAATGAAAGGAAAAAAAATCTGTTAATACAAACTGCTTTGTGAACAGCTGATTTCCACGCTCCTCAAGTTCCTAAAGAACCTGGCTTTATTTTCTATTTATTCTCTTCTGTAGTTGATCTTACATTCTCCAACTCTGCTATATTAACTGTACAGTTGCTTACCTCTGATGAGGTTAATTTTATTATAAACCATGGAAGCAGTACTCAAAGTTCCAAGTGTGAAGATCTATGGAATTTTGCACATGAATCAGACAGATGAACATTACATTAAAGAACTCAAATATAATGTACATTTCCATAGTGTCTGTGTAGGTACTCTAGTTCAGGAGAATGACCCCAGTGTGCTCCTCCCCTGTATTCATACCTGTATCTTTCTTTGGATTACTGCAGAATAAAAGCTAATATACAACTATCCACTCCACATAGCATCAGACACTTTTGGATATGCAAGTAAGGTAACATTTCTCAGGAGGACTATTTCCGTGTCAAGAATTCTAACAGCTATTGCAGAGCATGTGTATTTTGAAGTACTGATGCTGAATTTTACAACAATATATTTGTCTACATTTAATGCTAAATACATACTATCTGGATACACATTTAGATGTCCCCTTTTTAGTTTTTAAATATCAAGAATTAATAAAAATATTTAACTGATTAGCACACTGTTGATATGGGGAAAAATCCCAAACATACACACAAGGCCTTTTTTTCAAAAGCACTAATAATAATAATAACCAGTCAGGCTGATCTCATGCTTCTTTCAAGTGCACCACAGAGCATAAAAGAGAATCACAGTACAGCAGGTAGGTTTCATATAATAATTTGCTCATATGGGCTTTTCTTACCTCCTATTATCCATCCAGTCTCCCAGTTCAAGTTCCAGAGTGCCACCACGGTGTTGACTGTGCAAGACTGGCATCAGCCCACCCATTGTATGGAGATGTCCACATAAATATGCTGTGGCAGAACTAACAAGAATTGTGATTATTTGGGTGGGAAGGAAATATCACTGCAGAAAACCTGAAAAGTGAGAGATGAGCATGTGAAGACAGACAAGAAATGTACTTCATGCTGAAAACAGAGAGGGTAAGAAGATCTTACCTCATTAATGTTCGTATTCCAGGGGATGGGGAGACGATTGTGGAGGTGGGGTAGTGGCCAAACCAGATAGTATGGTTGCTCTGTAGACTTTCTGTTGCCATCAAAGACAGCTCTGCCATTTGATTCTGAAACAGGCAGGTGACAAATCCATTTTGCTAAATAAATGTCTCACATTATAACTTAAAAACGTAAACACACTTATAGATGAACACAAATTGTCTTTCAAACAATTTTTCTATATTTAAAAAAACCCAAACCTCCAAACAAACCACTACAGAAATAAAAGAGCCAGCAAAATGGAATGCAAAGACTTATACAATACCATGTTTAAAATCCCAAAAAAATTATAGGGTCTTTTAGGGCCTGGGCTGAGTGTGGCATCCACGCAGATGAATGAATAGTTCCCAAAAGAGGTTGTGTGGATGTAATGGAAAGAGCCATCTTTATGCCAGGCAGAGTATTTCCTAACAAAACAAGATGGAAATACTGCTGTTATGAAAGCTTGTACCCATGACAAACATGCATTGCTTTCTCTCTTTCCATTGATAACAGCAAATTTCACTATTTCTGACTAACAAAATTGAAGTGCTTTTGATACTTTATGCTAGATGGGAGTTGTACATATCTTCCACTGGCAAAGACATGACATTTCAACTAATAGTACCACCTAAATTGCAATTCTGTAACTAAAGTGATTGTGAGTTAATCTGAGAATCACTAAAATTCATTACATTTCGGTTGGGTGGGTTTTTTTTTTAATTTCTTTTGGGGGTTAGGAGTGGGCCTTTTGTGTGCATTTGGGGTTTTTTAAGTTGTTTTAGTTTTGTTTTACTCCCTGCATGATTTGTAGAAACAAAAATATTCCTGAGTTCAGATGATGAGTATAATTTGAGCACAGCCATCCAGAAATCAGTTCATGTCCCTGTTCCTCCACCAATCAGAACAATAAAATACAATACAAGCTGATATATTGAAAACAAGTTTTCAATACTTCTATGCTATAAAAACCATTTCAAAATATTTTTTAAGTTAGAAGTATCTTTATGAACATCATCAACTTAAATAAAATTTCTTCATTTAGTCCCACTTCGAGTATGTGTAACAGTTGATTAATACTCTGCTAATGCTGTGAACATGTAATAGGAACCAATGTTTTTGTGTAAAAATATTGTATTTCAATACAACCCATTGCCCTCTTTAATTTTAATGCATAATGAACACCAGAATGTGGTATTGAATAACTGTTTTTCCTAGCTTCTATTTTTATTTCTGCAAACAATTTTTGTAATTTTAATATTTTAAAATATATTTATATTTTTATATATTGAAAAAACAACTCCATTTCACTCTTCCATCTTCTTTCTCCTAGAGTGTGACTGAAAATTTTGTAGACATTGACAGATTTAACACACTCAATTCCAAAACACAGAAAGGTAAGAGATAAGAAATCTGCACAAAGAATTCTCTATTATTTTCTCAATAGATTCTGCTCTAATAACTGACAATGCAAAAGACAGAGGGAATAGTAGATATGATCCTGGGCTAGAAGAAAGTCAGTGAAAAAGCATATATGTAATAAGTATTGTTTAGTGAATTTGACCTTGGATATAGCTGCATCTGTATGGTAAATAAAAGTACCTGTAATAATTCTGAACACTATCCAGGCGTGGAATGTTGAATGAATCTGTAAGGGAGTAAAAAAGGAAATAAGGAAATTTTCAGATCAAATTGATCATTAGCCCCTGTACCTAACTAGGTAATGTTGAGATAAAGCAGTCTCAGCAGGTGCTGAAGAGCTACTTTTTAAAAGATGCATGATTGACAAGCAGACTAACTGTGCAGAGGAGACGTTATATACTCAATGCAGTTAAATGGCAATAGTTTTCTCATTCAAGTTTCAATTCAAAAATAAAGGCATCGTGGGAATATAAATTGTTATTTAGCAGCCAAAAACTAAACCTGTCTCCATTTTGACCACAGAACTTTTCAAGAGCTTTTCTGGACTGGGTGCATGCTCTGTAAGTAAGACTTAACTCTTTCATGGAAAATAAGGAGCATCTCATCTAGAGAACAGCATGTGTAGAACAGACATCAGCTTGAGGAGGTCTGTACTGCAACAGCTCCACTTCTCCTAATTAATGCTGCTAACAGAAGCCTAACAGGAAAATGAGTATATATGACAAAGCATGCACTTTCCCCCCTCCCAGGGCAGCTTCCTGTACAGCCTGTTTATACAGCCTACACGACTGTCAGCTTGTGTTTGAATGCTTACAGTGTGGCAACAGCTGATGATCTAAACTCCCATTACTCCCTTCTATTCAAAAGAAACCAAATTTCCTTTAGCTGCTGGACATGTGACACCCTTTAAACTTAAACCTGTGAGGAGGAAGTCTATGAAAAGTAAATTGAAACCATTTCTTCAGTATGGTAAGATTACAGTTTGCCCCTCCATTAAATAATGTGGTAGATAAAATAATGATATGGAAACTAACCTCTGAAGTCATGTTCTACCACTTGCCAGGCAAAAGACTCTTACCTCTCTGGTACTAAAACTCACTTCAGTAAGAGCTTGTAAACAGTGTGTCCCCAGTAGACGTGGATGGTAAGCCCTTCTCTTAATTCATGAACACTAACACACTAGTGAGTACTAACATTTTACCTCTATATTCTGTGATCTGCAATCACAGGAAAGACAGAAATGTTTCATTTTCTTCTTACCATGATTCCCTTTGATGTCTATCCACTTGGTTTTTTCCATGACCCTTGACCTCTTCAGGATTGACTGATAAGTTTTCCACTCATCTTCTACCTGCTCAGATCCCAGTTTATCTCTTGTCTTAGCATCTGTCAGATCACCTGAGAGTGTACAAAGGTGAGATATAACTAGAGGCCTACATAGCTTATACAATTACTGTAACTAGACAAGCATGCCATCCCTGCCTCCAAGTCTAAGTGGCTGCAGGCCTGGGTGCAATCTGCATGTTTCTGTATCTGGTCCACATGATCAGCATAAATGCCTTCCAATGCAGATGCAGCAACCTCGTCAGACATCTATTGACCACATCACTGCAGCACTTTCACTAATTAGATAATAACTTTCTGTAGAAGCAAAACTCCAGGTCTAGCATTAAGATTCTAAAACCTTGCATACAGTAACGGCTTAAAGTTTTCTTAATTATCTTGTCAAAACTTCATCTATTTCAATAGCAAGCTGTCAAATGAAGTGGCAAGGCTTATTTCACCTCTCTTGGTATGATATGTTCAAATGGAAACCAGCAATAAAATCCTACATTAATTCACAGGTGAATTTCATACAAATGAACAGGGATTGTTCTGAGGGGGGAACTGTATCTTAATGGCTAACTACAGACATTGCTCACTTCTGTAATTTCCAACATAAAGAATGTAGAATCATGACCAGGGCAAGAGGGAAGATAGCTCCTAGCAAGGGCTATGATGCAGCAACACCTACTGGGAAAACATTAGCTATCTCGTGTGATTGTGTCTGTTATGTATAGAACACACTAAACTCACTGAAGAAACTGAATGCTCAATAAAATAATAATAATTCCCTTGTTGAGAAGGTTTTTTTTCAGCTTCTAGCAGTCTCCCTTCAGCTGCAATTTAGTTTCTATTGCTTAAGATATGTTTAAAGTTCTCTCTTGAGATCCTACAATTTTGTCTATTTGCTGCTCCTTTGACAGTCCACTCAACAGGAAATTTACACTTTTCAACTGCTTACCTGTTGCTAGAACAAGTGCTGGCTGAATTACATCAATTGTTTCTGAACAAAATTTCTCAAAGTCAGGAGCTCGTTTGGGATCCCGAAATTTGCTGATATGAATATCTGACACCTGCAAAAGAGAAGACTGAGACACTGCCCCAAGTAAAAGGGTTATTGCTACCCAGGCTGTTCTGCAAAGCCAAGTATACATTAGAATGCAACATAAGAGCAGCAGTCACAGTGATTCATGTCAGTGTAAGGGACACAGGGAGAAACAAAAGTGGGTGACTAGGGGAGAAGGAAAGCAGAACAAGCAAATGATATTGCAACTCTAACCCCTAAAATCACATTTACATCAAGAAAATTTCCTTAAAACTACGAGCATACAAAAGCATGAGGAAATACTTAGGTATCCACAGTAAATTATGATGGCTGCAAGTGGCCTGTTGCCTTTCAAATTCTGGCAGTTTCTGTGCAATACAGTGGTCCTGCTGCAAGTAAGAATACAAAGCAGTTCTGCAAAGCAATAGGTTAAAGCTACCTAGAACTTGAAATGTACTGAAAATTTATTTTATACCTGGTGTGACATTTCCAGTAGCTGAGTGAAAGGTTTTTTAACATCCTATCCAAGCATTTTAATGGATCAAACAAGTGTGTTTAGATCCCATTCCATGTGCCTTCAAGAAGGCAAATATTGCCTAAGAAATTATGATATGACTTGTATGTAACTGTAGAAGATGCTGTTCATTTCTGAACCAGTGAAAGCCCTCACATCAAAAGAGCCGTTTGGGGAGAGTAAGAAATGTAAGATTTTTCTATTTTTTTACATTTGTGGCTTTTCGGTACTGTACAAAAAAAACCCTTATGTATTGCTTCAATTCCATTTTCCATTCTACTTCAGTCAATTAATTAATTGTCCTCCTTGGTTTGAACAAATGGTATTTGATGCTCAAAAAGCAGTAAGCAAATGGTCATCTGACAATATCACTTGGAAAGAAAAACATTTAACTTTTACATTCAGTTTAATAAACCTGTTCTCATAAAGCTTGTAGTTTTTGAAAAATCCAGATAAAATATCTTGGAGAAAAATGATTTACTTTTACTTATTCAGTCATCTGTATACGAAGAAAAAATTACCTGAACACAGTTTTTAAATTCTGCTTAGGAAAACTCCCCATTCAGAATGACATGGAATTTTTGCCTAGATCAGAATTGCATGCTAAAAAAGGCAAACACTTTTAGATAAAACTTTGTCTTCACTTTCATTGATGTATTCAAACTAGTGTGAGGCAAAGAGCACAGCAAAACTACCTTGATACATCAAACCTCATTTAATCATTGACAACAATACAACTTGTTTTGCTTCTTTTCAGCCTGTGGATTTGCAATTAATTTATCTCAGCAATCAAACACAGAAAATCAAAACTTCTACAGTTTTCATTCTTGAGAAAAAACAGTATTACAAAAAACCTTAGTCATGCCCTACCAGTAGTTACAGCAAATGTAAATTTCCAACCTTACAGCAGAGAGTGGTTCAGAAGTCTAATTTCCTACAGTGACCTTGCCACTTTTCTTCCCCGGGAGTTTAAGATTTTTAAAAGGGTTCAACTTGTAATTTCTAAGAGTTACAGTGTCTCGGGACTTCTGAGAGCTGGGACTAAGTTTCTTTCATCATTAACAGCCATGACATATGAAGATCTCAGAAGTGGAGCTTCTTCCCTTTTTTTTTTAAATTTGAATTACTTTCAGATGATATCCCAGTGGATAAAGAAAAGATAAAAAGACAGTGGGCAAGATGAAAAGCTTGAAATGCTCTTATTTACTTTCCAAAATGTAGGTGAAAGCCCATTTGCTGCTCCTTCCCCTCCCTCTGACCGATGTGGATACTTGGCCTCTCATTGCATCCTAGGCTGTTACTTTCATTAAAATCGGTTGGAAGAGATTTAGGGGTGAGAAGAAATCACCGTCAACATTCCTTATCTCTAGCAAAGATGTGGTTCAGGAGAGGCGGGTGTTAACAAAGGAGAATTATAAGGACTAGAGCAACAGTAGAATGCTTTCAGCTGAGAGAAATGGGAGAAATAAATGCTTGTCAAATGCTGAACTAGAGTGTCTATTTGGCAGTGGGTAAGAAAGGAAATTCTGCTACAATAAAGATGGATGAGCCATTAATAGAAGATTAAGGTAGAAAGACTGTGATTGAGTTCCTTTAAGAAGAGATAGTCTTGTGCTTGGGAAGAAAAACAAGGCAGGAACTGCTGGGGAACATCTTGAGCTCTATTCAGTGACCTAGGCTAGACCTATGGAATCACCAGGGAGCCTGAAGCCTGGTTCCCATAACATCATCAGTCACAATGCTGGATTTGGTGCTTGATTAGTTTCCAAGTTAGGTCAATGATAAAGCAGCTGTTAAAGGGCACATCTGAAAGAGAACATAACCACTTGAAAGTAAAGCCAAGTCTCAAATTAGCTGTGCTGTGACCTATCCTTGGGAGAACTCTACTTGAAGTGACACAGCCAGAGAGAGCACAGCAAGAGAAACATGGGCCCGTGCATGCTGCTTGTCAGTATAGCTCTGCAGCTGCTATATGCTGCTCTGACTCTTCACACAAGACAGCAGCTCAGGACAGGGGCTTTCCTTACATTATTTCAAGGATATCTCTTGATACTTGTACTCTGCAGTAAAAATAAGCTTTAAGTCACTTAAGGAAAAATTACTGGAAAAAAAATTATACCACCTATTAGAGAGAACCAAAGGACCAAATATATGCCAGCTTGTCCACTAAGAGCACTGCCTGCAGCTAATAAAGTCAGGCAAAGTGTTCTTGGGATTGAGAATGAAAACAAAATGGTAAAAGCAGCTATTTGTTAGAAGGAAATGCACAGCAATCCCTGGGACGTTTCAGCCATAGATGAACTATGAATACGTAAACATCTTTGTGGCTAGTTCTACACCAAGTGCTTTGGGAATACTCTGGGGAGAAGAGTCAGAAGAAGCCACAGAAACCCTAAGACGTGACAGTTTGCTTCCAGGTCAAACTGGATTTTATGTTTAACCTGGAAACAAAGCAGTGTATATTTAACCTTCTGAATACTGGCACAGTACCTTCTACTGCTATAAATCAGTAAAACTATTTCCTTAGCCACACAACTTTTCTGAGTTTTTGGATGGGGAAAGGGACAGACAGGGCCTGCATTTCTCCCTCCCCAGGATATTAGATAATACCGCATCAGGTACTGATGCAATATATAGGGTAGTGTAATAATTGGGTGATTTTTAATTACCAACTTCCACTACACACATCTGTGTGATAAGGAAACTTCTCTGTGCAACCATCGAGGAGCCACTGTGGCAGTCAGTCACACTACCTGAGACCGAGGCCCCTTCACAGCTACACCCTTCACACTCACAGTTAGACCAGGTTTCCTTGCCAGCTGTGCCCTAGGTTTCCCATAGCAGGGTCTCAGACTTCGGGATCATTAAAATAATTTAATCTTGGTGCAGTAATTAACAAAATAACAGTTTGACTTGGGTACCTCTGAGAAGGTGCCCCAAAGAAAGGAATCCCCGAGCTTTTATACCCTCACAGTCTAAAAGCAGGCAAGTCTGGGAGTCATGGGCTCCTGCCGTGTCTGAGTGTCCTGGCCGGGCCACAGGTCCCTGTGCCCTCCGCCGCGTAAAGGGTTGGGCAGGTCCCGGCCTTTCGTCTCGGGCTCCCGCCCCCCAGAGCTCAGCCTGTAGCCAGGCCAGCCCTGCAGATGCACATCGAGCTGCCGGCACTGAACATATTCTTCAATATGTTCAGTGCCCGCGACCTTTGGGGCAGCCTGCCCAAACGCCTGTAACCTGGGCTTGGCTGCGCGCCTCCGCCGTGCCCGCGCTCGGCCGCCCCTGGCCCCCCCGGCCCCGCTCACCTGCACGACCCAGAGCAGGTTGGCGGCGGCCGCCCCGGGCGCGGGCTGCGGGGCCCAGCGGCGGCGCTGCCCCGGGGCCGGCGGCGCCCCCGGCGGCCCGTACCAGTCCAGCAGCAGCGCCACGGCGGCCGCCGCCAGCAGCCCCGCCGCCAGCCCCAGCATCGTGCGCCGCGCCGCCACCGCGCCCGCCCCGGGCGAGCCCCGCGCCGCCAGCCCCGGCACTTCCGCGTCCACCTCCCCGGCGGCCGGGCCGGCCCGCGCTCGGCCGCGCTCGGCTCGGAGGACCGATGCCAGCGGCGCCAGGGGTGGGCGCTCCCCTTGTGCTGGAGGTTTTGTCCGGCGAGGCCGGGGGATCCCGGCTCTCCCCCCGCTGCCTGGGCCCTGAGCGCTCCCGCGTTCCCCTCCAGCCGCAGGGGTGCCTGGAAATGCCTAGGTTAAAGCAGAACGAAACCCAGGCGTACGAAGAGATCCGCGTCTCATCCTGCTTCCTTACAAATACAGCATGAAAACTTTCGCTTTTTCTCCTTACGGTATTATTATTCTGCCTGCTCGGAAATCTAGGCAGTTGACCTATTTTGCTCCCGACAGAAGTCTTTTTATGGTATTTTGAGTATTTTTTTTATATATATGTACCACAATTTTAAACCTTTCTATAGCAAGTGCACAGTTTCATAATTGCTATTCTTTGCTATCAACTCAGTTTACTAACTGCTGCCCATTTACTGTTGAGATTTTTTCTTCACATCTTAAGTATGAGTTTAGGTGAAAAAGCTTCTGTCGCTTCATGTCACTCTTTGTTATTTAACATAATATTCTCAAACAACTTCAGGTATTAGAAGTTTCTAATTCAATGTTGTTTAGTTGTAATTATATTTTCTCATATAATTTGTCATAGGACAAAGATTTAATTTTTAGCATTGATAATTATTAGTTTTGATTGATCAAGAAAAAACATTTTTCAGATCAATTAGACTGCATTAATATAAGACATGTCTTTTTAGATGTTCTTCATAATTTAGTTACTCTTTTGCAGGACTTCATGTATGTTTGCTTTGGTTTTTTTCAGCTGCCTTTCATCTTGCTTGTGTACTTTTCGCTCCAAAAAAACACCCTGAAGAAATGTTTCTAAATAAACATCAATCAGCAATCCTGGTAATCTTCAGGAGTAATCTTGAGAACTGGGGCTTGCTCACTGTCTTTCATTTATTTTCGCTCCACCATTTTATTTTAGCTCTAGCAAGGCTGTCAAGCATTTTGTCTGTATTAAAATTGATCTGAATTCCTGTTTTGTTCTTCTTCTTTCCTCTATTACTGTAGTA